ATATTCATTTACCTTTTTGTTCCGGAAACAAAAGGACAGTCCCTAGAGGAGATAGACCAGCAGTTCTCCAGGAAAAGGTGTGTGTGCTGTTGTCCCAGAGTGAGTGCTGGCTTTGGGAGCTTCCCATTGTTGGCTCCTGAGGTCTGTGGCACCAGGCAGCTCAGGGCTGTTACAAAGTCTGGTCAGTGCTACTGAGAAAGTAGAAAATCTCAAGTTTGTGGCAGGGTTTTGGGACAAGTTGTGAGAGCTGCAGTGCTGTTCATCAGCAAGTCACTGCCCTGAGCCTTGTGGCTGAGCTGTGGGAGGGCACTAGTGGCACTTGGGAGGAAATGGGCTAAAAACCAGGGCTCGTGGCTGAGGAGAGGAAAGCAGGACCACAGCATGGGACAGGCAGGTCAGGACTGGGAGGAGACAGGAGGGGATGATAGTCCTCTTGTTTCACCTTAGAATAGTCTTGGACTGATCCTTCTCCTCCGGGGCAGAGACATCTCCTGGTATAACACAGGCCATGGGCTCTCACCTGGTAGTTTTCAGACAAAGCCTGTAATGGGTTAGGGAAGATCAAAAGGTGCTTGTGCCATCCTGGTTGGGATGGAGGTGGCAGGGCAGGCATTGCTGGAGCAGGGAGAGGCCCAGGGGAGGGAGCACAGACCCCTGGGGGGGCAGGAGGGGTAACTGCTGTGAGGCCCTGCCTGTCTCTCTGGGCACAGCACTGACCTTCACCATTGCCCCGCAGGGTTTGGGAAGGAAATGTGTTCAAGCAGAGACGTGGACAAGGAGCGAGCTGCACACACGCACAGTACCAGAGGGTGGAGCACACCAACAGCCCATGAAACCATCAACGTGCCTTCAGCATCGTGTCTGAGCAGCTTTTCCAGGAGAGGAGCGGGCTGGGCCATCAGGACAGTTCTTTTCCATGGCCTTTAACTGGTGACCTCTGCTCACAGACAGTTCTCCCTGCAGTGCCTTAGCTGTGGGGACATGCAGATAGCTGTCCTTTGGATCCTTGGAGGATCGTTGTTCCCCGGCAGGGAGCACATCCTTCCTTTGACGTCTTTAATTCTTCATCATTTGTACCTCCCATCGTTTAAGAGATTAATTTTTTTTTTGTACGCAGGGATTAAAGCACAACTTTTGCCGGCGGTGCTCTCCCGTCGGCCAGGTTCGTTTGTGAGCAAGGTGTGTTTTATGTTCCGGTTCTTGGAAAAGAAGCGGCGCTGCACCGCGCCGGACCCGCCGCCAGTGGGTGCCCCGGCACCGCGGCACCGCCCGGACCCCGGGCTGCGGACAGACCCCCGCCACAGCGCCCAAAATATAAGCCCACCACACCCCTCGGACCCCCCCGCACCCTTCGGACACACACCCACCCCCTCACTGTGCCTCTGGGCCTGGTGGAGCCGGAAAAGAAGGATATGGGAATCCACGGTACCCCTGCGGGGCAGGCGGAGGGAGCTGTGCTGGGACAAGGGGAAGGGGAGAGGATGGGGACATTGGGGTTTTGGGAGGAGTGGAGGGGGCCCAGGGACTGGCTGTTGGGGCAGTGAGCGGGGCTGGATGTGCTGGGAGTACCCACGAGAGCTCTGGGGTCAGCAAACAGCGCTGGTGACAGTGCCAGGTGTTGGGGGTGACAGTACGGGAAGATGAGACACAGCTCCTGGTAAGGGGGATCAGTAAACCCGAGGCAGAGGACTGTCACCTCCACCACAGCAGAGCTGGGCTGCTGGCACTGAAACGAGGAAAAGCCATGAAGGAGTGTTCAAATGAAAAGCTGAGGAAAATTCAGTGGGTGTTGAAATTCAGGCTTTCACCCCTGTGAGAGGACGTGGCCAATATTCATGGAGAGAGCAGCAGGGAAACCAAATGATGCAGCTGCAGTAAATCAGGTGAATTTGGCCATGTATGGTACCAGCAGAATCACGGGAACATTATGAAGCAACCAAGCAAGGGCAAAACCTGGTTGTGCTTCTGTGCCTATACCAGAAGCTTGAAAAATAAGATAATGCCAGGCTTTCCAACTGCCCTGAATAACAACCCCAGTACCAGCACAGATTTCCTGAGATGGGAAATCATGCATCCCAATTTAAAAAATTTAGAACCAGGACTGTATAACTGACCCCCGATCAGGATAAATATATAAATATACAAATATAAAATGAGATTAGAGAAGTTAGTCAGCTAAGTGATCCACCAGGAAGGAATAAAAACTGGTTTGGGATACAACAAAGGGTCTCCTGGACTAAGCAGTGCTGGAAGCATGAGAAGGGCTGCTGCTCTGGGTTTGGTGGGGAGCAGAGCACAGGACCTGCTTCACAAGGTGTTTGTGGGAGAGCTGTTCTCTGCTGGTGACCACAAAACAACCTTTAATGCTGTAGTGAGAGAGAGCACACCAAATAAATCCAGCCTGGGGCTCTACAGTTTCAAGAAAGGGAACTATGAAAAAATAAGGTGATTAGTCAATAACAACAAACCCAAAAGGAACAGACAGAAAGCAAGGAGCCTGCAAGCAGTCTGGCGGCGATTAAAAAATGCTCCATTAAAGCCCAAGGAAAACATGTGCCACAACTCAAAAAGAGCTAAGAGGTCCTAAAAAACACCCTGCCTGACTTGCTGCTAAGGTTAAGGAGGTATCACAGGGAGAAGGTCAGTGTTTGAAAACTGAAAAGGTTTCCCACATGAGGAGAAAAGGAAAACCCCATAAAACATAGCAAGTAAAGTGCAGACAGAAAAGAGAGCTAAAAAAGAGCACGAAGATATTGCAAATATCTTACAAATACCTTTTAAAAATGTTTCCTTAAATATGTCAGAAGAAAGAAGCTGGCTAGGGAGCCATTGCTCAATACAAAGGTGCAACAGGGTTCCAGGAAGGATAAGGCATGATGAGGCAGCTTGGGCAGGACTGTGTTGGTCTTCACTGCTGCAGGTATTTGGAAGAACCTCACACCCAGCAAGTGAGAGGAACTGGATCAATGTGACTTTACAAGTGGCTACTGTACCAGAGGGCTGGCAGGTTGTTATTGTAGTTCCCACATAAAAGCCAAGCTCTGGAAGGGGACCCTGGGAGCTGCAGGGGTGAGTGTCACCTCCGTCCCTGCTGGGCTGATGGGGTCTGCAGGCAGACAGGCATCTGGGAAGGAGCCAGCAGGCAAGGATGCTGAAAAGGGAAAGCTTGCCTTGCCAGCATGCTGGGACTCTAGGAATGTATCAAGTGTTCACACAGATAGGAAGAACCCAACAGACAGAACAGATGGGTGTTTTCAAAAAGATTTTGGCAAAATGAGTTTAAAACCAACTACATTGCCACAGGATTGGAGCAATGGTTCTTTTATGGAGGGGAATCTCTTTAATGGTATTCCTGTCTTGCAGGTAGCAGAGTGCAGGGTTTAACAGATAGCTTTTGAGAATGAATGAGATTCAGCAACTGGGTTGCCCCAGAATCTCTGCTGGGTCTGGTTTTATTCGGCACCTTCAGCTGTTGTGTTGGCAAGGGAACAGACAGCAAAATCTCCAGGTTTGTGGATGACACTGAGCTCTTTTAGGAACTAGAACATCTTGCCGCTGACAAAGGGCTCCGTAAAACCCTGGCAAAAGGAAGGGTGTGAGCAAAAAGGGCAGCAGGGAAAGATGTGATAGGGAACACTGCAGGCTGGTGCCAGAGGCCCCTGAGGGCTGGCTGGGGACAGCATGGATGGGAGGAGTGCTGGGCTGGGTGAGCTGGCTCCCTCCATCATCATCATCTAACTGGACAAATGTGTCCCCACTCCAAATTTGGGACCCATTAACATAGCAACAGGCTGTTTCTCTTTTGCTTTCCCCCGAGGCTGAGACCTCATAAGACTAGAGGATACAGAAATGCTTGAGGCGGTGATAAATCTTCTTTAGTGGGCCTTTATTTCCTTTTCTTTCACAATATTTTCTTTAGTTTCCCAGCCAAATTTTTTCTAAGGAAAGATTTCTGACTTCCTTTGAGCCACAGCTCAACATCTGTCCACATTGGGGGCTGAAGTAATACACTGTTAAGGGGTTTTGATGTCAAGCCCAAAACCCCACCAGGGATTTATGCGGCTCTCCCCTTTCCTCCCTCCTCCCCTTCAAACAGCCTTTCATTTGCTCTCACTAATTGTGCTGTCATGCCTTTCTTTTTGCCCCAGTTGTGCAGGCAGCCTTTCATGCAGACAGGTTTGGGTGACAGATGCCTGTGCCATGAGCTTCCCGAGCAGGCGGGTTGTGCTCCGAGCGTGCGCATCGTCCGGGCCCCGCTGAAATGATCCAGGCACACATCCAGCCCAGGGAAGGATTAGGCAGTGGCTGCCCTGCCTCCCCCCCGAGTTGCTGCTGGATAATCACTGCTGCTCGGGGGAAAGCCCCACCGGGCCCAGCCCACCCACAGACACCGCTTGCTCCTCGGAGTGGGCAGGAAAAAATTAGCGGAGCATCTCTTGGAAAACGGAAGAGGAGACTCTTCAGGAGGATTCAGGCTGGGCAGAAGGACTCTGCAAAGCCTGGTGTCCCAGGGGAGGTGGCTGTCAGGGCAGGCTTTTGAAAAGCATCTACAGGCCACTACCCCCTTACATGTGTTGCTGTACTGTGCTATAATCAAAATCTGAATGATGTGAAAAATAAGTACAAACCTTGGCTTGTTATTGCTGGTCCAGAGTGACTTCAGGAACCAGCTTGTTCACAGGTGATGTAAAGTTTGAGTGGCAGCATGTACCATCCTTGAGCCCTTGATCTCCAGCTGTGGTAACATGATCTAGGTGATAGACTGAACACCGAGGAAGGTGTGAGTCCCTGCTGCAAATATTCCCACAACTCAGCAGAGAAATGTGGGATATGAATCCATATCCTGCTTGTGCATGTGAAGGCAGCAAGCTCAAGGACTGGATCCTGCTTAGTCTCTGCTCGGGGGGGATACAGAGCTGGATGAAAGGAACCAGAATACGTGAAATACGATAACTGGAAAAAATACAAACCAGAAGATGGGCTGTTTAATGCACTGCAGATCCAGCAGAACAACCAGAGCCGAACAAAAAACAGTCCTTGTATGGGAACAAAGATACCAGCTCAGCCCAGGGAGAACCTGGAAGGAGATGGGTGTGTTGAGCTGTGTTTTGTTAGTTTGTGTGTCTCCAGGCACTGTGTGGATCAGACCTGAGCCTAAAATGTGCCGGGTGCTTCCTCCTTTAACTGCATCTCTCCCCTCCAAAGTGCTGCTTCCAGCACGAGCACCTCTAAGCTCCCCAGGTTTGGTACCCCTTGTTCCTCCTGCTCTACCTGGACTTCTTCCTACTGCTCCTCCCTCTGGCCCCAGCTCCCCCAGCCCTGTGGTCTAATAACTCAATAAGCAGAGGGAAGAAGGAGAGTTGCTGTCACTTTTAATCATAGGAGTAAAGCAGGGACAGAAAGAAGGTCTCCCTCAACCACCTGAGTGCTAAAGGTTTGCAGAATGAGTTCCTCTGACAGGTCACCCACCCAGAAAAGCCTGTTGTCTGTATGAAGAAAGATATCTTGGGCTGAGCTGGAGTGAGACCTCAGCACTGAGCACTGAGCAACACAGAGACCACTGCTTGCCCCCTGGACCTACCGGGCCAAATTCAATTTCTCCATAGTCAGGAATCACATAATTCCCTTTACTGGGGAGTTTTTCCAGTTGTGTCCAGGTATTTTCAGCCACTCTGACCACTGGGAATCATTTTCCCCTTGCCTCAATGACAGGAGCTGCAAAGAGCCATTTCCCCTTGTGAAGGTCCTCTGCAAGGGTCTGGGGCAAAGCATCCTGTTCAGGTGCCACGGTGTCACTGTGACAATCCTGGCACCACACCCGTGACAGTGCCTGTGCTCACTGACAGCTCTTGGGGGTAACAACCATCCTTTTGTTCTCACTCAAACTCACAGCTGAGTGCTGGTGCACGATGTGACCTCCTGCAGCAACACAAATAAAAATGTCAGTACTACAGCTATTAATAGTGTTTCTATTCCTGCTGCCACTACGATGGCTTTTGCTACTATTAATAATAATATTTACATATGCAAAACCACAGATGCAAAACAGATGGTTTGGTTGGGACCTCCGAAAAAACTTGTCTCTGCCACATATATTTATGACAAAGACGGAGGGTTAACCACACAGAGGGCCATATAGAG